GGGGCACAAAGCGAGGCGGGGCCCAGACGGGATAGTCGAGGGAGCGCCGGTCACGATCCCAGGAGGAGGGACCGGCGGGTCTGACCAAGTAGGAGGGCGGAGAGGACGGGGGACGGGCTAGGAAGCGTTGGCTCCACTCTGACAGCCAAGTGATGGCCAGGCACGTCCACATTTGTCCCTCCTCTCGCAATAAGTCGGCGAATTCCGGGACGCCCATGGCCCTTCGAAGATCAGTGAAGGAAGCACCAGGCCCAGTTAAGTGCCATCCCGGCCAACTTGAAACCACTCTCCCACGACCCGACCTGCTATCGCTCTCCGACTGCCCGTCCGTCCCTGCCGTCTTCCCTCTCTTTGCACCTCCGTCCCCACCTTGCGCGGTCTTGACGCGCACGAATAAGGCCGCACACTCCAACAGCGCCTTACCCGCCTGCTTCGCCATCTCAAACCGACTCGCCAGTTGCCCCGGACTCACACGCTCCTGCGCCTCCTCCACACTCAGGGTGGCAACAGCCCGGGAGGCCATGGAGCGACCGAGTCGCATGCCCCATGCGCTCATGTCTAGCATCTCAGCGCGCTCCACTGGCGAGGGTCCCTCCTTCGCCTCACCCATCGCGGCCGAGACACCTTCCAGCAAGAGAGTTTCCTCCCTGCTAGCTCCCTCTTCGAGGTCGTCTTTGTCGCCGTTGGCCCCCAGCCTCGGGCCCCCGGGAATCTCCATGGCCTCCTCCTTGCCTTTTCCTCCCCCACCAGGCGCGAGTCGGAATACACCCCCCGTATCCCACAACACCTGCACCACGCGAGCCACGAAAATAGCACACGTCAAGTCCCGGAGCACATCTTCCTCTGTTTTCCCCCGCGAGCTTTCCTTCCCCGTCTGGGCCCGCCCGCCTTGCGCCGACGAGACCGAGGGCGCCAGAAAGGTCAAGTCCACCGCCGCCGCCACCCAGACGCACCAAACATTCTGGCTCAGAAGGGGCTGCTCTGTCCGCAAGAGGGAAGACGAGCCCCGCCCCACGTTCAGGGGACAGCCGCCTCCCAACAACAAGCGTGCCAAGGGCCCCGCCATCCTGACCCTGGGGGCTACTCCCTCCGCCCTCCCTTGCCGTCTTTTCCGGCCGCCAATGCCGCCCAGTCCACGCTCCTGGGCTTCAGGACCTCCACGCCGTCGCTTACGAAGGTGTTGCGCCGATAAAAGCGGTTTTATCGGCGCGTCCTCGCCGTAACCCCTACCCATGCTTGTGAGCATTCCCACTGCGTCCCCTTCATCATCCCCCTCCTGCACTCCCTGATTTTCGTTTGTCGAGCCCGAAGAGCCAGCCGCTTGAGAATCGGTGACTGGAGAAGGGAGGGGATCCAGGAACGAAGGCCATAGCGGACGCGTCATGTAGCCCAGAACCCGAATCAAAGCATTCAATCGTGTCACCCGGGCAACGTCAGCGTGATCTCCTCCGCTACAGGTGCCGCTGGTCCCGCCAATGTCGCCTCGTCCTCCATCGGCGTGCCATCCCTTTCTTCCCTTCTCTTCCCCGCCGTGACCCATCTCCACCTGCGCCACCGCCAACGTGTAAGCGAGCGATTCGCACACCTTCAGGTACCGATCCACGGGCAAATCTGATTCCCATCCCCTTTCTCCACGCCACCTGCTGCTCGGAGACGACGGAGACCCTCCAGAGTCCATGCTCTTTAAAAAGAGGCGGCAGCTCTCCGTGAGTGCCGCTTCATTCCTCGCCGCCTCCTGATCCTCCTCGCTTTCCTCCTCCCCCGTCTCCTTCCCTTCCATCGCCATGGCGGCCTGCGCGCCCTCAAAACTCGACAGAGACCCCGGCACATGCGTTCTTTCCGCTCCCTGCGAGGTTCTCAAAATGGTACTGTCCTTCTCCTCCCACCCTTCCTGTTCATGTACATCCCACGCCTCCAGGCACTCCTTTTCTTCCTCCTCCGTGGTTTTACCCTGCATCTGCTCATCCATATCCTCGTCATCTGCTTCCACCAATGCCTGCAAGTGATCCTCGAATCGCCACACGACGGTTCCCCTATTCCCATCCTTGCCCTTTCTTGCCCCCTGCCGATCAATTACACCCGCCCCTGCGCCAATCACGACCCCTCCGAAAAGGCCTGCGTCCTCCACCACTGGAATGTGCGGCACCAAGCAAGTGGAAACGGCCTTACAGTATGGACAGGGATACTCGCCCGCCTGCACGTTGTAGATCAAGTTGCCCATCGCCTCGCTCGACTCCACCACCGAGGCAAAGTAGGCGTCAAAGCACCCATAGTGCAACGCGTGACCACACAGCTGCACAATCAAGCCTTCTCGCCGTTCCTGAAAGCCACCCTGTTTCCCACTTCTCGCCGCACTTCGCCCTCCCTCGATTGTTCCCTCCTCCTCCCCCTCCTCCTCCTCCTGTCCGCATTTCCCGTCCGCCCCTCGCCTTCCCCGTCGCCCGGGCTTCTGCGGGGAGGAGGAAGTCGGACAGGCGTCCAACTCCCCAAGGGGTAAAGACCTGCTCAGTACGTTCGAGCGCTGGACGAAGGCAGCGTATCCCAAAGGACTCGAGTCCTCCTTCGCACTGGAGCCCCGGCAGGCCATACACACCGGCTTTTTCGGTAATACTTCCTCCCCGCCCGCTTTCTCCTCGCCCTCCATCCCTTCTTCTCCATTGGTTTCCCCCGGACCCAGCTCTCCAAGGCTCTTTTTCCGGGGAGAGGGCATAATCCTTCCTTCCGCGGACTTGCCCGCTCTTCTATCATCCTCGTCAACCATCCCGTCGTCCCCTTCCTTGTTTTCACGCACCCTACGCGGCACATCTTCTTCCTCCTCCTCTTTACCCTCTTGCCCCTTGAGAAATTCGGCGGCCGAACGCTGCATCTTGGCGAGCATCTTTTCACGTGCTGTCTTCTTCCGGGCGTGGGCTGATCGCGCAATTTTTTGGGCTCCCTCGCCGACGGCCACGCTGCGGTCCAAGGCAGCTTGGCAGACAGGATCGAGCCGTCCGAGGTTTTGGAGCAGCCATTGCGTCCCTTGCAAGAGGTGGACGTCGGACGAGGAGGCAATCGAGGAGGGCAATGCGAGGAGGAGGGAGAACAGGGAGGGGCTCGATGAAGAAGGGAGCGCAGAGGTGTCGTGCATGGCCGCAAAAAACGAGCGTGTCGCAGGTGAAGACGGGCAGTCCCGTAGAGCGTGCACGGCCAAAGTCAGTAGATGCAGACATCGGGGTAGGAGGGAATCGCGGATGCAGGCTGAGGATGAAGAGGAGGGAGGCGGAGGTGAGGGGAGGGGGGCGATGAAACCCGTGCTGTCGGTGGGCTCAGTGGGTTCCGAGAGAAAAGAGGTGGAAGCAGGGACGCCACTGCTGCTGCGGCCGCTTGGCGGGAAGGCCTTCATGAGGACCGTTCTGATGACTTGGAGGAGGGTGCGAGAGGAGAGCAAGCCCAGGCGCAACGGGGCAAAGACCGGGTGAGCCGGAGGGGGGGGACGAACGCATGCTTTGGGGGATGGACCGCTTTCTTTCTTGGGCGAGGGCCGCATCTCCGATGCTTGTTGGTGCGCTTGATTGGTCATGTGGAAAAAGGCCGGGTCGTATTCTTCCCAGGCGCTCTCGCTTAAAACAAACCTTTCCGCCTCCAGGTCTCGCGCCTCGCGCCGGACCGCCACGGAGGCCAGGATCTCTTCGATCATGGACTCCGGTATCACCTCCGAGCCGTCCGAAGAGTGGTGACAGCACTCGTGGACCTCGCTGTGCGTGCACGGCCCCGACGCAAGCCGGTGGACGATTTCGCGGCGAAGGCTGAGCCGGTGCCGGTCTTGGGGAGGCATCGGGGGCAAGGGGACCTCGGTGATCAGCAGGATGAGCAACAGCAAACACTCCTCTCCCAGAGGCAGCAGCGTCTCCCGGACCACATCGTCATCCCATCGGTCGCGCCGATTCCATGGTCGCCCTGACCTTGGCCGCTGCCCCCCCTCTGGCCTCATCCACGACGAGGAGTCTGTTGCCTTCCTGTCTCCCCCCTGACCTCCTGCCTCGTCGGCCTTGCCTACGTCTTCCCACCCGGCAGGCGGCAGCCAGGTCCAGACGTGGAAACGTCGCAACAATGCGTTCATCACCTTCTCCCAATCGCCCCACGCTAGCGCCGCCATCTGTACCAGCAAGAGGTCCATGTCACGGAAGACCCTGCAGAAGGGCGGTTCCCTGTAATTGATCACCTGGTCCATCATCAGCTGTCCGTTGCGCCGCCAAAGGCCCGCGCGAATCTCGGCGGACAGGACGAGGACGGAGACTGGCATTTCAAAGAGACCCAAGGCGAGCAGGGGTTCTTCACTGATGTGCGCCAAGAGCTGGCCCAGGTCGCCCTCAGACGGGGCCGAGGTGGACGAGAGTAAGGCGGGGTTTTTCACCGCCTCCCGGACGAGGAAGGCGAAGGCCCGATGCAGAATCAGGTGGAAGGAGCGACGGAGGGGAAGACGAAGGAGGTGTAAGGTACCCTTGGGATGACAGGGGTAGGAAACGGTAGCCTCTGCCGCGGGCCCGGGAAGCAGTGGTGTCGGAGGCTCCAGGCTGGACGAGGCGGCTGAGAACCCACGCTCACTGGATTCGGCGCTTGCCGCTTGTCTGCCGCCGGCGTCAGAAATGTCCTCTGGTGGTGATAGCATGCTGTGTTCCTCCTCCTCCAACCCCCTTCCCCTAGCCGCCCCCTCCTCCCCCTCCTTCTCTTCCTCATCCTCCTCCTCAATCCCTTCTTCCTCTTCCTCCGCAGCCTCCTCCCAGACCTCTCGAGCGATCCAACCCCCTGGGACAAAAAGGCTTTCAAAAAGTCTCTTGCCAGCTCTTGATTGCCCCCAAGATTTGAATGCCCGCCACCACCACGGATGCCTGCGATCCGAAGTCGCTCGTTCCGACCCCTTTGTCCCCTCGCTCCTGCCATTCCTCTTGCTTAGCTAATCGGACTGGCACGTCCATATCTGTATCTTTTATGCCATGACTCTCAGTCTGGGCCGCGGTAGCCACCCCTAAGGGCGCCGTCCTGACCCAGCTCAATAAGCAGTCCAAGACGTGGCAGAGAGAGATCTGCACATTGAAGGCATACATCCACTCCCGACTTTCATACGTGACGTGTTCATCCGCCTCCCTCTCCTGAGCATGCATGTATTGGAGGGGAATCAGGAGCCGCGAGAGCCACACGTCCATGCACGTGTTGGCAAAATGGGCCGAAACTCCGGGTATGTTGAGGACAAACTTTAGGTCGGCCACGACGGGACTGTAGCGACGGTGGCGAAATATAGGATGCGAGACCAGAAGATTCCCAGAGATGCCGCGACTGTGGGAGCTGAATGAGAGAGAGGGAGTCGATGAATGCGCCGTCGAAGAGGACAGGTGGGGCAAGGAGGCAGGGAGCGCGGTCACGGCGGTCGGGGAGGAAGGGGGGGAAGTGGCACTGGAAGAGGGGCCGGAGGCCCGCTGGATCATGTCTGCTAGGGCCTGCACCAGTACCTCCAGAAAGTGACGGTGGCCAACCAAGTCGTTTACAAAGGCGGACCGGTTCAAGAATTGGACGCTGAGGGTGTACAGGGCCGACTCGGCCACTCCGATGCCCGCGGCGTAGTAGGAGGTGACGGTAAGGTAGGTGTCCGCGTAGCTCTGCGCCACTGCTTTCTTGAACGACTGGTCCGCCATCAGGAAGAGGTAGAGGGCGTGGAGGGCCGTGGCCAAGGGCTTGGGTAGGTGCCCGTGCGCCACCATCAGACGGTTCAAAGTGGAGGGCTGGAGCTGCTCAACGACCAGGCGGCAGGTCCCCCCGAGATCCCCGCCAGCGTGTACAGCCATTGCACCAGGAGCACGGCCACCTTCTCGATCTTGTGCAGCCGGCGCGTGACCAGAGACACGGACAACGACCGGGCCTGCAGCCGTCGCGCCTTGGGCCGCACCTCTTCCAGGCTCCCGAAGTGCAGCCGGGCTTCCCCCTGCTCCTGCACCACGTCGGTCAGGACCCGCGCCGTCTGCAGGTTCAGACCCAGGCATTGCTGCAGCACCTCCACCACTTCCCGTTTGCTGTGCATGTCGTCGTTGTGCAAGGTCAAATAGTATTCCCCCGGCTCTCCGGGCCCAGGCGCGGCCGCCTCCCCGGCCCAGACCGCGTCCTCCACGTGCTCCAAGTCGTAACTCTCCTGCAGGGCGGCCACCGCCTGCCGCAAGAAGAGGACAGACTGCGCCATCGTCCACCGACTCCCGGCAATGAAGGAGGGAGGCAGGTGGCTCAACGGGTCGTTCCCGTCTTGCCCGTGTCGGGGGCAGAAACCCGCCTTGTCCCACGCGTCGTCGTCGCCGCAGTCGCAGCAACCCCCAGCTTGCGTCTGATAGAAATACACCTCGTGCCCCTGGTGCTGGCTGAGCCGGAAGCAGTCGTTGCAGAGCACGCAGGTCTCGTCTTTTTGACAATCTTTGCAGATCCAAACGATGTCGTTCCGTTTGAATGCGAACTGACATATCCGATGCGGAGCCATTGCCCCCACGCGCTCGACCAAGACCCCTGGATCGGCAGGGACCAGACCCTCCTCCCTCTCCTCCCCTTCCTGCTCGCCCCCCATCTCCGGCTCGTGCGGCTGTGCACCTGCTTGTTGGAGCTCCGTGGCATAGTCCACAACCAGGAGCCATTGCATGGCGCGCAATCGGACCGGCGCTTTCAGTGAGATGCCCGTCCGGGTAGGGACGGGAAAACTAAAAATAAAAGACGCCAATTCCCCCTTGGCTGCTCGCAAGCGTGCCAACAAGTCCGCGACAGGGACGGATTCCTCCTGTCGCAACGCCCGCACTACCTCCCTGACCGCCTCTGAAGGTCTGTCCTTGGCCCTGTTCGTGTGAGGGGAAGGGGTCACCATCGCGCCCAGGCTGGACGAGCCCGGAGGAAAGGCAGCGGACGTCCGGCCTTCGATTCCGCCGTGTACCACAGCTCTCGCCTGATTCCCCGCACGCAAGCCATCGTCGTCCTCGTCGTCCTCCGTTTCTTCATCCATGGCTTCATGCCGTTGCTGGAGGAGGTCGTGCCCCGAACGGGCTTCTCGAGCCGCTAGGCCGGATTGCCTCAGTCGGCGGATCAAGTGACGCTCCTCCTCGTCGCTTCCTAACGCATCCACTTCCATGTCTTCCTCGTCTCCCTCTAGTTCCACGGCAGGCAGCGTAATGTCTTCGTTTGTCAGCGGAACCACCTCCCCTCCCTCGGGCTGCGGCTCTTGCGCCGACATAAATCCCGCCGCCTCTACCTTCACACAGGGCCCAGTGTGCGCCCACGCGGTCTTCGACGTGCCTGTTTGTCTGTTGTTCGTGTCAAACGACAATGGGGGTGCGAATTTGCGTGTAAAATGGAAGCCCAAAGTCGTTCCCCGTCCCCCTCGCCGTTGTCCCTGTCGCCGGAGCTGGAGGATAAAAACAACTAGGACAGGCAGCAATCAGCTAGTACTCCTCTTCGTCCAAGCCTCCAGCACCTAAAGGGGAAGGCATGTCCGTGGGCACACCCTTCATGACTAAAGTCATCCCGATCTACGGGCGTGCAAGGCCGCCGGTTACTTTTCAGACGAACATTGCAATTCTTTGGATGCCGGCCTCCCTCTTCCTTGTTCAACTAGGAGACCGGATCAGCCTCCCTGCTCCACCCCACCCCACATAGAATCGAAACAAAATGGTGGACTGTACAGCTTAAGCATGTCTTTTGTTTTGCCATTGGGGTTTTCTTTTTTTAATCGCGCTACGCTTTTGACGGGCGTCAGAACTTTGTCAGTGGCTGGGCGGGGGGGCAATCATGATGTCGAGACCGGGGCTCCAACGGAAATCCTACAAGATCAAAGCTCCCCAAACTTTGCGAGCTTTACGTATACAAAATCAGATAGACAGCAGGAGCTACGAGAGATGCAATTGCGCCAAAATATGCCAAAGCGAAGAATCGGGGGAATTTACGCTGGACGACTATGGCGAGAAAGTAGCCAACGCCGCCGACGAAGGGTCCGACCTGTAGTGTAGGTCGAGAAGATCACGTGAATGTATAATTCCCAGTCACGCTTAGATAGTGGTGGAATAGCCGGGGGATCTATAATTTACCTTTAGCAAGGGGATCAGTTCCAGGACGTGAAAAGGATTCACAGCACGACGGATGACCCCGCCGTAATAACTTGTCTCGGCATCCCACAAGTCTGGCCGTTCTTGCCGCAACTCTTTAAGCTCCGTATTGATTGCTCGTCGACTTGCATCATCGTAAAGCAATTCATCCAGCCCTGGAAGCTCCGAGACGGCTTTGGCGGCGTCCCGAAGGGAGAGGGGCTCCGCCGCGTCTCTCATCGCCATGATTGCCGTTCTGAACTCCGGAGGCAGAGGGGTCAGGTCAGCAGCCTGGGAAGGCGGTGCGCCGCTCGTATCAAAAGATCCTATGCATGTGCCCAGGAGAAGTGCGGCCTTGCTGGTGGCTCGCTTGACGTTTTGGACGGGGCCCAGAGGAGAGGACTTGGGACTTGAACTCTCAGAACCGGAGCCTGCTGCCTTCACGGCCACAGAAACCGATCGAACGGTCTTGGTCGACAAGTGTGTCAATGAGACATGTGTTGGTAAAAAAAAGGCGTGGAGACCGTGGGATATGAAATGCAGGAAGATAATAAGGGCTAGCAACGATGTTGATCTTCTGGATGATTGAAGGAGCTGCATGGGTTCAGGAGACAAGGGAGGAGCGGCAGCAAACTTTGACAATCGATACACGAGCCTAGACGATGTTCCATAAAAGAGTTAAAGTGAATCGATCGTGAAATGACCAGTTGGCAAGGACGCGTGGCGTGTAAAGTACTGGAGGACAGGCTTTCGTTGGGAAGGACCTGACCTCCACTCGAGGCATCGCTCAGCGGGCTTGGACACACCTGTGCTCGACCCCAGCCTGATCATTCTCGCGGCTTCCAAAAGCCCCCAATTCGACGTGGAAACGGACGAAACATGACCAATAAATCACAGATCATAGACTCGCTCTTCATATGCAACAGCTCACGTAAACCGAAATAGCGAATACAAAACGTCGTGTGGTACGGAATAGTCTTGACGATATCATATCCCGAGAAATATACAGGGTTCGACACTTTCGGAAACTTATGTTGCTTTCGTGGTAAGTCTTCGCAGTCTTTCCACACATCTTAGAAGCTAGGCAGAATGTTAAGCAGCAATACTGTGGGACAAGATGGCCGCCGGGTTTATGGATTAATACTTTTCTCCGACTACCACGAATTAAGGTGGCCCCGTTCGTTTCTATCATAGGATTATATTACAGCGAATATAACCCTTCGGGCATGACAAATCTCAGCATTGCTCATCTATTTTTTTTTTCCCTTTTTTAATCTTTCTATGTCCTTTGTGGGAAATTTGCTATTAACATACTTATTACTTTTCCAAGTGACAATGTTCTATAAAGCTGGAAGGAAAAGAAACCTTTGCATATAGAAATCCCCAGACATGAGAGAACCACGCCTCGTGAATGCTCTAGGCTTTTCTTAAATAGGTTTTTCGTAGGCGAGACGTTCTTTTGATGGTGACATGTGGAAAAGACGCAATCGGGGAGTTTATCTTCTTTCGTGATTGGACCTTAGATACTCCTTTGCAGCTCAAACGTGACAAACGATCAGAAATCGAGGCAAAATACGACGAGTAGAGTTATGTTCTCACATGTGCTGGAAAAAGCTCAAGTTTATAAGCGCGCTTTTTGATCCTATCGACATCCATGACATGGATGTCTTCTTAAGTGCCAGCCATTCTTTTTCCGTTTCTTTTCCTTACGTCTGTTTAAATTGAAAAGTGCTCCTCGCCGACACAAAAATTGGCGCTGTGACGTCGTGTACGGCATACAGGAAAACAATGGACAGGCATGCCGGTGCATGGCACAAAAGGAAATATGGTCTAACGATCTCTTTTGGTGTGTGCCTGTGCTGTTTTTGGACGTGATGAGATTGTTCGGGGCGCGTGCTTTTTGTGGACGCGGAATACTGCGGAGTCTGGGGATGGCGAGGGCTGCTAGCGACACGCCCGGGAAGTGCGATTGTGCCCTCAAAGGGCCCCCTTGGGTGCGGCGTGTCGCAGCATTTCATGTTTGGGATACCTTGACGCTCGCACCTCTTTCTCTCATGGATGAAGTGATCCGGGGCCGGATGCGGCGCATGATTGCCATGTTTGGTGGTGTCAATCCGTTCGTGTCTTGCTTGATTTCCGGTTTCAGGAGGAAGCGCCCGAGAGAGACAGACGCACATGGTTTTCTCCCCTGAGGGGCCACTGGTCATGTGCCACCCGCTTGTACGCGCTTCACATACTAAGGCTGTGGGCAACGGCGTCGATCCTTCACACATATAAGCATCGCATTCGTCTTGTTCTGAAATTGT